CCTCACACTCTATACAAAAATTAACTAAAACTGGATCACAGACTTAAATGTGAAAGCTAAAACTTTACAAATTCCAGAGAAAAAAAATTTTAATTTGTGCACTTTTGTTTGGGCAATGAAATTTTAGATATGACACCAAAAGCAAAATGCATTTTAAAAAATTAAAATTCAGAAAATAAACTTTATCAAAATTAAAACATTTTGCTCTGTGAAAGTTGGTGTCATGGAAATGAAAACACAAATCAGAGACTGGGAGAAAATATTTGCAAATCACTTTTCTTATAAAGGATTTAAATCTAGAATAACAAAGAATTCTTAAAAATCCATGACAACAGATGGCCAAAAAGCACATGAAAAGATGCTCAACATCACTAATTACTAGAGAATACAAATCAAAACTGCAATGAGGTATCACCTCCCACCAGTCACAGAATGGCCATCATCAAAAAATCTATAAACAATAAATGCTGGAGAAGATGTGGAGAAAAGGGAACCCTCCTACACTGTTGGTGGGAATGGAAATTGGTACAACCACTATGGAGAACAGTATGGAGATTCCTTTAAAAACTAAAATTAGAACTACCATATGACCCAGCAATCCCACTCCTAGGCATATACCCACAGAAAACCACAATTTGAAAAGATACATGCACCCTAATGTTCACTGCAGCACTATTTACAATAGCCAGGACGTGGAAGCAACCTATGTGTCAATCAACAGAGGAATGGATAAAGAAGATGTGGTATCTCTATGACATAAATCACAGCAAGATCCTTTTTGACCCACCTCCTAGAGTAATGGAAATAAGAACAAAAATAAACAAATGGGACCTAATGAAACTTAAAAGCTTTTGCACAGCAAAGGAAACCATAAACAAGACGAAAAGACAACCCTCAGAGTGGGAGAAAATATCTGCAAACAAAGCAACTGACAAAGGGTTAGTCTCCAAAATATACAAGCAGCTCATGCAGCTCAATATCAAAAAGCAAACAACCCAATCCAAAAATGCGCAGAAGACCTAAATAGACATTTCTCCAAAGAAGACATACAGATTGCCATCAAACACATGAAAAGATGCTCAACATCACTAATCATTAGAGAAATGCAAATCAAAACCACAATGACGTATCACCTCACACTGGTCAGAATGGCCATTATCAAAAAATCTACAAACAATAAATGCTCGAGAGGGTGTGGAGAAAAGGGAACCCTCCTGCACTGTTGGTGGGAATGTAAATTGATACAGCCACTGTGGAGAACACTATGGAGGTTCCTTAAAAAACTAAAAACAGAACTACCATATGACCCAGCAATCCCACTACTGGGCATATACCCTGAGAAAACCATAATTCAAAAAGACATATGTACCACAATGTTCACTACAGCACTACTTACAAGAGCCAGGACATGGAAGCAACCTAAATGTCTACTGATAGATGAATGGATAAAGAAGATGTGGCACATATATACAATGGAATATTACTTGGCCATAAAAAGGAACAAATTGAGTTATTTGCAGTGAGGTGGATGGACCTAGAGACTGTTACACAGAGTGAAGTCAGAAAGAGAAAAACAAATACCGCATGCTAACGCACATATATGGAATCTCAAAACATGGTATCGATGAACCTAGTGGCAGCGCAGGAATAAAGACGCAGACAGAGAACGGACTTGAGGACACAGCGGGGGTAAGGGGAAGCTGGGATGAAGTGAGAGAGTAGCACTGACATATATACACTACCAAATGTAAAATGGATGGCTAGTGGGAAGCTGCTACATAGCACAGGGAGATGAGCTCGATGTTTTGTGACGACCTAGATGGGTGGGATAGGGAGGGTGGTAACCTTTGAGACAGGCTTCTTTTCCTGAGCATAATGTCTTTAAAATCCAACCAAGTGTGTATGACAGTGCTACTCAACAGTAGTCTCTTTTGAAGAATAAAATGTCTTAATTTTGATGAAGTCCAATTTATCAGTTGTTTTTTTTTTTTGTTTTTTTGTTTTTTTCCTTGCGTTATGCGGGCCTCTCACTGTTGTGGCCTCTCCCATTTGCGGAGCACAGGCTCCGGACGCGCAGGCTCAGCGGCCATGGCTCACGGGCCCAGCCGCTCCGCGGCATGTGGGATCCTCCCGAAACGGGGCACGAACCCGCGTCTCCTGCATCGGCAGGCGGACTCTCAAGCACTGCGCCACCAGGGAAGCCCAGAAAGCATGATTTTGTAGCCCCAAATCCTGAAGAGCCGTATGTAATATCTTAATGTCATGCCCATCAAACTCAGTAAGTTTGGCTTCTGCCCTCTCAAGACAAAATAAATAAGATAAAGAATAAAGAAAAGTTTTTTTAAATGATATGGTACATATATACAATGGAATATTACTCAGCCATAAAGAAGAACAAAATAATGCCATTTGCAGCTACATGGATGGACCCAGAGATTGTCATACTCAGTGAAGTAAGAAAGACAAATATCATATGATATTGCTTATATGTGGGATCTAAAAAAATGGTACTAATGAACTTATCTACAAAACAGAGACAGAGTCACAGATGTAGAAAACAAAGTTATGGTACCAGGGGATGGGAGGAAGGGTAAACTGGGAGATTGGGATTGACATATACACACTAGTATATATAAAATAGATAACTAATAAGAACCTACTGCACAGGGAACTCTACTTAATACTCTGTAGTGGCCTATATGTGAAAAGAATCTAAAAAAGAATGGAGGGACTTCCCTGGGGGTCCAGTGGTTAAGACTTCACCTTCTAATGCAGGGGGTGCGGGTTCAATCCCCGGTTGGGGAGCTAAGATCCCACATGCCTAGGGCCAAAAACAAAACAAAGCAAAACAAAACATAAAACAGAAGCAATATTGTAACAAATTCAACAGACTTAAAAAAAAATGGTCCACATCAAAAAAAAATCTTAAAAAAAAAATTAAATTAAAAAGAGTAGATGTATGTATAACTGATTCACTTTGCTGTACACCTGAAACTAACATTGTAAATATTGTAACAAATTCAACAGACTTAAAAAAAAATGGTCCACATCAAAAAAAAATCTTAAAAAAAAAATTAAATTAAAAAGAGTAGATGTATGTATAACTGATTCACTTTGCTGTACACCTGAAACTAACACAACATTGTAAATCAACTATACGCCAATAAAAATTTTTTTAATATTAAATTTAAAAAAATCAATGACAAGAAAACAGATACTTCACCAAAGATATAGAAATAAAAAAACACATATAGATATATACTCAATACCACTAGCTAAGCCATTACGGAAATGCAACTTAAAACTACAGTGAAATATCACCTCACATCTATTAGAATGGCAAAATTTTTAACAACTTGACAATACCAACAACTGGTCAGGATGAGAAACAGGGACGCTCATTCACTGCAAGTGGGAATGCAAAACTGCAAGGCACTCTGGAAGACAGTCTCTTACAAAGCTAAACATAGAATCGCCATACAATCCAGCAATCATGCTCCTAGGTATTTACCCAACTGATCTGAACACTCATGTCCACAAAAAAACCCACATGTGAGTGTTGACAGCATTCATAATCACCCAAAACTGGAAGCATCCAGGTATCAAGACTTATTATAAATCAAGATAGTGTGAAACTGGCGTAAGGATAGAAGAGTAGGCCAATGGAACAGAATAAAGAGTTGTGAAACCAAACTATATTTATGGATGCCTGATATATGACAAGGTGGCACCGCAGAGCCATAGGTAGAGGTCAATCACTTCAGTGGCACTGGGCAATTAGGCAACTTGATGAAAAAAATAAAGCTTAACTCCTACTAACACTAAACATAAATTCTAGATGTATTGTGAATCTACATGTGAAAGGTAAATGTGAACAAAGAAAACTGTCTTCATGAGCTCTGGATAACAAAAAAAGTTCTTAGATTGGACACAAAAAACACCAGTAATAAAAGAAAAAATTTAGAAACTAAATTAAGTTAAAATTAGAAATAGCTGTTCATCAAAAGGCAGCATTAATTAACAGAATGAAAAGGCAAGACAGGGGAAAAAAACCCAGCTTGTAAACAAATACTGAACAACAGTTAATGCTGTGCATACTGAAGTATTTAGAGGGAAGCATGCTGATGTCTAAAATATATTAAGAAATACAGCAAAAATAAGATGGGGTAAGAGACGCAGAGGGATGGAAAGATGGATAATGTGATAAAGCAAGTATAGTAAAACGTTAAAGGTAAATTCAAGGTGATGCGTATACAGATGTTCACTGCAAAATCCTTTTGATTTTGCCCTGCGTTTGAAAACTGTCATAACAAAATATTGGAGGTGAGAGAAGCACCCCAGGTAAATATGGATTTGGTATCAAGTTTGCTTTAAACTTCAATGTGCATGAATCACTGAATCTTGTTAAGATGAAAAGTCTTGATATAACAGGACTGAGGTGCGGCCTGAAACAGCATTTCTAATAAGCTTCCAGAAAATAAATAACTCCTTTCAGTCAATAAGAAACAGACAGAAAACACCCAAAAAAGGTAACAAAATGTCCAAAGAGCATGCTAGCAGGAAATGCAAAGTAAGGCCATACAGAGACACCACCATTGCCAGAATGGCTCAAATAAAAAGAAGAGTAATTAAGAGATGGCAGAGAACGTGAGGCAAGTGGACACCCAGACACTGCTGACGGCCATACAAGAGGACGGTGCTTAACGAAAAATATAAGCAATACAGCAGGATACACATGCGTACACACCACCAACATAAATTAAAAGTGCATTCACACCAGAAACAATAGCTTGTAAACACATTTAAACAGAACAATATCCATGTAAAAAATTAGGTGGGGGGCGTGGAAAAGGAGCTGAAAATTGAGTCTGGGGAAACCAGGAAACAGGGACCTCAGGGATCTTACACGACCTCCCACCTGAGGACCTCCATCCCTCTCCCCACCAAAACAATGAAAAAGAAATAAAGAAAAGATGGAAATGAACAAACCAGTAACTCACCCAGGTCTTCTCTGCTTTCGGCTGCTCCTGGGAAATAAACAGGCACTCTAGGACCTGCTCTGTCCCAGGACTCTTGTGCCTCTGCCGGGGTCCTCCAGGGAGAGGCCTCTGGTCAGGGGTCTCTTGACCCATGATGGATCCCTTCCCCTGGAGCTTTCTGATGCCATCGCATGTGCTCTCTTGCTCCTGGAGAGGTGGGACCTGCAGACCCAAGAGCAAGCTCACTTTTGCGAGCACTTTTCCTCTGGGCCCCGACCTCGGTCTCCTTTGCTGGTGAACGCGCTCACCCAGGCTGGACTGGGGGCTCTGCAGACTGTGGTCAGTGCGGCTTGGGGGGCACAAGTGAGAGGAAACGGAAATGGGGAACCCAGCACATGACCACAGCCCCCCGCCCCGCCCAGACTCTGCACAGGCCCCCAGGAACCCCGAAAGTGCGGTAACCACCCAGAGATTTAAACAACTCCGGGCAGACACTCAAGAAGAACATGACGCCAGATGGTAAGGAGGGAACGACCCTGCTGGAGGCGACGTACAGGAGAAATGGGCTGTGGACTAAACAGTCTGTCTCAGTAGAGCTGCTTCTCTCAATATCTGGGTGTCCGTGAACAATTCACTTCATCCCTCTCACTGCGCCTTACTTTTGTTGTTAAACATTGAGAGTAGGATGAGATCAGGGGAACAGTGTAGTCTTTTAATCTCCCAATAAAAACAAGAGGCCTACCAGAATAGCAAAAGAAGCCCAGAGATGTCCACAGACAGACAAATGGACCCAGGTGACAGGACTCCTCACAAACCCAGGATCCAGGCAGATGTGACCTAACTGCAGAACTGGGGTAGGAGACCGGGGGCCACATGCTGCCGATCTCCAAAGTCACCCCCAACAGGAGAGCACCTCCCGAGAGGAGAATCTGAGCCTCTCAGGCTCAGAGTTGCAGGTGACTAAAAAAGACATTCCCAAAGTCGCTAAGTGACCTAACAGCACTGTGGTCACCTAGGAACACGAGGGTCTGAGAAATAATGGGCAAACCGCCCCTTCTACAAGGACGGGTCTTCACTGCGAGGGAAAGCTGCTGGAAATGGAGCCCAAATTGATCAGCACAAGAAGTGAGAAAACAAAGATTCAGGCAAAGAGAGGGACAAGAGAAAAGAGATTCTGAGAATGAGAGGGGAAGGAGAGAAAAGGAAAGAGAGAAAGGCACTCAGCAGTCAGGGGGAAGGGTCCAGAGGATGCTCATTCCAGAAGCTATTAAAACAACAAAATACAAGGGGTAAAACTGAGAGAAACATGTTAGGATACAAGGCATGCTGAACACAGGGCTAGAGGCAGAAGAAAGGCTTCCTGACAAGGCTTAGCGTTGAGTCAGGTCAGGTGTGTGTGTGTGTGTGTGTGTTTGCTTGTATTTTCAAAAGAATCACTGAGAGGATGAACTAGGAACTGTAAAAAGATTCCCTCTGGGGGCGGGAAGGGACAGAGCAGGAGGGATGGAGGCTTGTCTGAATGACGCTACACACTTTCTACTTTGAATCACGTAAATATTTCATATGATCTAAAAGGGGAGGAAGGGCAATCCCTAACATTGAAAATAAATGTCAACAGATACATTTATTTATACAATTGGAAAGAAAACTACAACAGACAATCATTTTACCAACTGACTTAACATGCGGTATTTAACTGTGCATTCTTTGGATAAAATGGGCTACAAAGACAGACTGAACCTCATTTAGCACCCTTGTTAATGGTTAACAAATTGTTATTTTAAAACCGTCTTATGTATGCTATAGGACATCACAGTTATATCACTCTTTTTAAGAACCAAGATATCTAGCACATGACAAAAAGTTGCAAGAGTTAAGTGTTTAACGCTCACGCAGAGCTGGTGGGAATGGAAAAGGGAGCAGCCACTTTGGACCCAGCTTGGCAGCTCCTCAGTGTTAAACCCAGAATTACTGTATTAGCCGGCAATCCCATTCTTAGCTATCCGCTCAACAGAATTAAAAGCCTACATCCACAGAAACGCTTGCACACAAATGGCTCTAACAGCCTGATTCCTAATAGCCAAATACCCATCAATGGATGAAGGGATAAATCATATGTGATCTATACATACAAAGGCGCGTTATTTAGCCATAATAAAGAATGAAGCACCGAAAAATGCTACATGATGAACTTTTGTACTATAGGTACCTGACAATTAGCTTTTGTTGACTGTAATTCAAGTGCCTGATCGTACTGAAAGCTTCTGATTTCTGAGGCACCACTTCAAAGACATCCGTCTTAGATAAACGCACTGCCAGCCACACAGCTAGATAAGGAGCCAGGCCGCCCCACCTGACGTTCCCCTCCCAGAAAGCCCTGGGTGACCTAGATAACTGCTCACTTGAGTGACCCCGC